CAATGGTTCGAGCATTATGTGAGTTTTTCATGAAATAAAGCCAATGTGATGTTTTTTTGTAGAAATTGAATGTTCGATGTTATGTAAAATAAGATTTACGTGGGTTGTTGGGGAGTGAATTCCATACGCCTTCCTGGGATCTTGATACATCAATGAAAGTTAAATTGGTGAAAGAAATAATGATCTTAGTGAAGAGAAGGATCCATGGGATGTTGACAAGAAGAAGAAGAAAAAACGAAATGTTAAAATGGTCCGTGGATTTGTATAGGGGATTGAATTTGATCTTTAGAAACGAGGATAAAAGTGGAGGTAGTAGTCAACATGGTTATTCTCTTTTTTTTTTTTTTTTTGGATCAAACATGGTAATTCAAGGGTAGCAAAGAATAAAAGGATTTTAGCGTCAAATGGTTCGGAATTGATAGCAAATCATGGACAAAAGGGATGGATTAGAAAATATAAAGGAAAAATTTTTCCTTGATATGGTTACAACAAATAATGAATGGTGGGACCTACTTAAGGAAGAATGAGTGTTGCTTCTTTCCCCGAAGGGTCTGGGCATATCCATATGCTTCTTGACTAGGGGTGAGTAAGAAAAACTGAAAAATCAAACCAAACCAAAAATATGGTTAATTGAATCGATTGGTTCGGTATTTTAAAAAAAACTAAAGGTACCAATTTGGTTTTGGTTAACTAATATAAAAAACCAACGGCCGACCGGTATACATATATTTTTATATATTTTATGTATATTATATATATATATATATTATAAATTAATAGATATGCATTATATATAAATTAGACTAGTTCATGGGCCAGGCAGACTTTGCCTCTTTATCAATAGAAAATGTGTAGGCTCAAGCTCGAGCATGGCCCGACCATCAGGTCTAGATCTTGAGCCCAAGCCCTGACCCTTATATAAAGCCCGAAGCCCAAGCTCGAACTCGTGAACTTGAAATTTTGTCCAAGCTCGAAAAATAACTGGTCAGCCTGACCCAACCTATCGTGAGCTTAAAAATAAAAACCCGACGAACCGAATTGATGATTAATCGAACCTGTCAACTAGTTAACTAATCAACTTTGGTTCGGTTTTGATTACCAGTTTTCCAGGGACCAGTAATACTAGTTCGGTTTCAAAAACACGAGCCCGGATCTCCTGCCCACGTTTATCGCAGCCACACATGAAGAACATCTCATCCTCTACATAGTATTATGTAGGGGGAGATGTTCCCAATTCACGGGGATGGTGTATTGTGGGTAGGCGTGGGCAAAAGATCCGGAGTCCAAAAACACCTCCCCTAGAAAAAGAAAATTATAGGAGGCTAACAACCTAAATTTGAAAATATTTGGCATTCACATGAGAACTGTGTTAATCAAGAAATCTTGGGACTCAATTTTGAATGGTAATTGGCTGAATAAAGTAATAGAAAATTGTAGGTATCTAAGGGTAGAACTATCCAAATGGACTAAAGTGTTCGGTAAAGTGTAGGATAGAATCAAAGCTATCCAAATTGATCAAAGAAGTAGGGCAAGTAATTCTTATAGCCAATCTAGGGTGAAAGAGCTAAAATAACTTTTGGGTGAAGAGTTGAAGAGAGAAGAAATACAACGGACCCATAAATCTTGACAATATTTGTTCAAATTACGAGATAGGAACAATAGATGTTTTCATTAAGCTATTTTGAGAAGAAGGGCTAGAAACTGTATGTGACAAGTATCAATCTCATATGTTCCTATGAATATTGAGTTTTTAATTGCAAAAAAAAGAGGTAAGTTAGGGTATGTTTGAGTGGGGTGAGAGCAAAAAAACATATTTAAGTATATAACTCTATTTAAAAAACTTTGTGTATGTTTAAGTCACTCTAGGAAACCGTGCTCGTCTTCATGGTGGCGATACTCTCAGCGGCAGCCGCTACTGTGTCCGCCCAAGGCGATAGCAAGATGCACCATCCCCGACTCCTTCCATGGTCTCAGGATCGCCCTTTGCTCTACCCATCTCCGGTGCCCTCCTCTGCTCCTCCCTCCCTCTTTTCTTTCTTCGTTCTCTTGAAGCGGTAAATGAAGAGGGGGCATACGATAAAATCGGGAAGGAAGAAGCTTCAACTCGTTGTCATTTCACCAGAAGAGCAACAGTTTTAGATTTAAGCTGGGTGCGTGTCCATGATGCTCTCGTTCACTAAAGAAACAACCGGCCATCCAAACTTGGATTTGTAGGAAGTAACAATTTTTACAGAGCTGGATATCCCAAATCTTAGACCCTGCTTAAAAAGGTCACCGACAATTTGAGAAAGGTGAGTAAAATAGTCTTTACCGTAAGAAAGATTTATCAGAAACAGTAGAGATAATTTAAGACGATAATGAAACAGTAGGGATATAATTAGTAAATTTCTTAAATTTAAGGGTAATTTAAGAAATTTGCCCTTCAAAAAATGGGATAAGTGGACTGCATTCCACCTCATAAATATCTCAAGTTTTTTGACAATGAGCAATGGTCAAAGACTATTAATAGCTATTTTACCCTTCATTTTTTTTTCAAAATTTCAAAATATAATATTTGAAGAAATGTTAAGTCCCGTTTAAAGCCTGAATCTTACAATCAATCTTGCCTCTGAGTTTGTTCAATTGGGAATCACTGGTTAATAATAGAGGAATAGAAGGAGAATGATAGAGAGGGAAATGTGTTTCCCAATAGTTTGCGGCAGCCAAATGTGTTTCCCATTGGTGAAAGTTTAAGTTCTAGGACGTTGGGTTGTCTTAATCTGCGTTTGAGGTTTCGTTTCGATAAGGAGGAGGGTCTTACGACATAAGAGACAATAACCGAGGAGCCTGAAGAATATGAGTGCATGCAGTTGACAGATGCTCGATGTTCAAGATGCATGGAGAAAAAAAAGTGGGTCTAACAGACATCAATCAAGCAGGGGGGACTTGGATACTGATATCAGGTTCTATCGTTTTTCTTTCACCTTCAATCCTACATCACATGCCAATCTTGTAGAAAAGGAACATAAGGAAACGTAAGGGATGGATTATTGGTAGTTTTGTAACTGATTTTACAAGTAAGTTTTTTAAAGAATTCAAGGTTTGGGGACACATCAGGGACCCACTTTTAGGAAGTTGATTGGGGTGGAATTAACATTTTTAATGTGCTTATCGACAAATTAGAAACAATTCTTGACAAATTCTACTGCATCACTGGTGCTTTATTGGTTTTAGAAATCATTTCTAATAGATGGCTCTTGAACGGGGGAAGATTAACGAATCCCAAGTTTGAGATGCGCCTAATTTTTTCCAGAATCAAGGATGAATTTGCTTGGAAATATAACGGAAAACTTTTGGTGAAGTATCTCCTTTAGAGGGATAATGAACTTTGGGAGACCTTATAATAGTTGAGCATTCTTTATTAGTTGGTAATAAGATCAGAATATTTTATTGTGAAAAATTATCAAAAAAAAAAAAGGATTACAGTAAATTATCACAGGTAATCCACGACCGGAGCAGAAACTGAGATATTTGGCTTTGTTTTAAATGAACACCTTCAGCTTTGATATTCTGAAAAAAGGAATTATGAATGGTTTTGTAAAATAAATATTTAAAATTATATAAATCATTTGGCACCACATGCTTAACGGATTGTAACGGCATATTAACGGTAAAGGAGTATTTTGTTCAGTATAAAAAACAAAAGACTAATAAAGTTTTGCATTTACACATAAGGGGAGTTTAAGTATTTTACCCTATATTTTATTTCTTCTCGACCATTTTGTATGAGATTATCGGGAGCAATCTTTTCTAGAGCCTTAGAGCCGAATATGTCTTCGTCGGCGTTATCATTGGTCTTTTGGTCTTCTCGATGTTCTGTTGGATCCGATTTAGCTCCCGAG